ACAAGCAAACACCTCTAGATAGAAAGTACTACCAACCAGGCTGCCAGAAGTCCAACCAGAAGGACCAGAGGAAAAGAATATCAGACCAACCTGATATATCAATGAACTGGTCATAGTCCTATTAGACTATCTGGATTGGGAGTTTGAAGAAAAAGCAGGGGTATATTAAAAGTATTAGGGATATACTATAAAATAAGTGCTGAGGTCTAGGTAAACTTTGCAAGGGCAAGCCCTGTTAATGTTCTGTAAAATAGGTAGGTAGTTAACAAGAGAGCTCTTGAAGCCTTATAGTCAGGTGTTATGCTCTGAAAATAATTGTATAATGGCTTGACAAATGTATAGAAGGAAGGTTAAATATTGGGTTAGATTGCACTTAGATGTACAGGAACTGGGATGCTAATTGTCTGGATGCAGTATAGGAATCAGAGTGTTTAATTAGATAGTTTCCTAGTAGATTATAGGTATGGCAGCTAGTGTAGAACCCTTGGGCAGACTACTTAAATAGGTAACTAAAAGTTACATATATGGCTAGTTGTATGCTCATTCTGTACAAGTAATATTTAATGTATTCACTAAAAGTGCAATAAAGGCATTAGCTACCATTAATATTGGCCTTTAAATAATAAATAAATAAATAAAAAAGTTTATTTGATATAATTTTTTATAAAATTAAATATATAAAAATTTTACCATTAAGTTTATATATAATTTTAATATAATATCTTTTATTCTTAAAAGATAAACATTATTAGTATATTTGGCATTAATGTTATATTACTAATAATTGTTATATACTATTAAATTTTAGAGATTAATAGTAGTATCATATAGGTCAGTTTATAACAATATGAGTATTTAGACAAAATTCCTTAAATTGAAATATCAATGTTCAATTAATTTTAATAATTATTATAAATTAAGATATCAAAATCTTTAAATAAGAATTATAATAAATTATTATATAATATTATATAACAAGACTTGTACTAAAAGTAAAGAATATAACCTAATGAATTATCAATGTTTGATTAAAAAAACCTAAATACTCATAATGATATAGACTAACTCATATAATACACAAATTTATACAACAAAATGAGTTTTTGTAATTTTGACATAACAAGTTCAATAAAATTGTATATATACATATATAGTAGTTAACAAAAGTAATGTCTAATTTGCAAATTATTACATATAAGTAAATAAAAAAGCTATACATATTCTATTCTTACAAATTTTAGGACAATTTTTTTTATTTTTTACTTTCTTGATATCAAAAGAACCAAGTATATATAAAAAAAATTTTTTAATAAAAATATCATACAAACAAATAATAGAAAAAAAAAAATAATAATTCTTATTTATATAAGTATAATGAGTACTAAATAAATTATTCACAAGATTAAGTATGACTTAATAACAATTTAAAGATTTTTAAAAAATATAGAAGGATCAAAAAAATTAAAAATTTATTTTAGTTCAAATATTCTTCTGCCTTAAAGTAACAAGAAGAGACCACCATACTAAAAAAAATATTAAAGAAAAGATATATGTTACTGTTCAAAATTGTAAAGGATTTAAATCTTTAATGCAATATACAAATTATAACTAGGATCTTATATAACTTTGGATTTTATTTTTATATCACTGCCTTGAAATCTTTTTTGTCAAATAGCAATATAAAAAGATATATAAAATAGTATAATTAAATAAAAATAAGGATACTTATTATTGAAAACATATTTTTTTTTAGATAAAATAAGTATAAAAATAGGTAAACAATTTCACCAAGTTTATATATAATGTTATACAAATGAAAGATACAAATATAAGTGTTTATAACCAAATTTTAGAAATAAAAAAATCTCATTAATAGTTTGATTATGTTTTATTGATAACATCAAAAGTCCTGTAATTTTTTTTAATAATTACAAAGATTCCAAACAAAAAATCAATAAAAATATTTATATTAAAGTATTAAATGATCATTTTATATTATTTATAACTACAGTCCATTTGTTAAACATTCATCATCTGATTTTTCAACATGACAATGCTCTGATTCATAATATGTCAGATTGATTAAATTTGAAAAACATTGATTATATAAATTGACTCTCATGATCCTCTGACCTTAATCCTATAGAAAATATTTAAAATATTATAAAAAACAATATTCAGAACCATGGTGACTTCTCAAGGAATAAATCTGACCTTAAAACAGCCTTATAGAAAGTATGATCAAATTTGAATATATCAGTTCTTCATATAGTTGCAGACTCAATAACATGAAGAATTGATGCTATCACAAGTGTAAAAGGTTACTCAATGAAGTATTAAATAAATATATATAAAAATTTGATGTATATGCAACCAAAATTAAATAAATAAAAATTTTATCTTTTGATCAAAAATCGGGTGTTACTTTTGTTGGCTACTGTACATGACTTTTACGTTAACCAGAGCACTAGCACATGATTACTATACTTTATATGCCAGCTCTATGAAAGTTTTGGCCATTGTTATTCATATATCAAAAATTTATACGTCAGAAACTTACATTTAAAAATTACATTAATTTTCACCATATCACTATATATACTTTATATAAAGGACGTATGTTACATGTTATACTTGTTCCACTAATAATTTTAGCGTATAAATGTCAACACGTCCAATATTATTAAATTTTCGTTTGAACACTTACTCGACATATTTAGAACATGTTTGTATATATCAAATTACAATGTAATCTATATGTAACGTGAATTATAATTTATGTAATTTATTATATCCAACATGCCGAAATCACTAACCTAATCGAATTGGCCGAAAAATCATTATGATAGTAGTAAGGCCCATATGCCGAGTACAAATTACAGCTATCAATAATTTCTGGAACACCTGCTCATTACCCGAAATCTTTTTGGTCGTTCAGTAAATTACCTAACTCTCCTAAACTGCATTGCTGCCTTCGGACCTTCATCGATGTAATTTCCGGAGAGTTAGATAATTTACCGAACGACCAAAAAAATTTCGGGTAATGAGCAGGTGTTCCAGAAATTATGATAATAGCTGTAAGACTCGACTTCTGAAGTCGAGTCCGGACTTTTCACATCCCTAGGCACAAGTCAAATATTACAGTTATGACCTTTGACGTATCGATACATCTTTGAGTTACGTACGTCCAATAAACCAGCATATGCCTGTATCAATAATACCAACCCGGGTGGCACAGAGACTTCTCATAAAATTAATATAATACCCCGATCACTACGTATTTCAAGATCATGGGGTATTATCGTTATTATTATTACCAAGAATATTAAACGTTAATCAGCTAAACAATTATGAAGACTAAGTCGATAAATTTATCGACTTAGTCATAATCGAAAATTTATGGTCGACCAGGATCACTAATATAAGGCCGTTCGAAGTTGATTCTTCGGTTAACATCACCCCCCAGCTGAAGGTTCCCCCAAGAAATGATCAACCAATCAAAACGCTGGATAACTCTATCCCTTGATTTACATCGACCAATCAAATTGTCTCATATTTGTTCGTTCATCCTCCCCCCCTTCCAAGAGTTCTTAAAGTGATGTTAACCGGAATTCAATTGCAAGCGCCTAACATACTAGCATATAGCATATAAACTTACATATGATACGTATACACTGGTTAAAAATTAAATTTTAACTAAATAATACCTTGTAATATATGCGTAATATATCAAATAATAAATTTCTAGATAATATATGTATTTTAATATATTTACTAGTAAAAATATTAAATTAAAATACGTATATTACCTAGTAATTAAGCTATTATTTGTATATATATACTATATATACGTATATTACATGATAATACTTAGTTAAAAATTTAATTTTTAACCAGTTATATATTCTATTATATAATTCTAACTATCCTAAAAATATAAATAAATTCTAATATAAAATATACATTATGATATAAATTTTACAAATACTGTATAAATTATTTATAAATTTAATTATTTTACGAATTTATTCTATAACAGTAGTATAAATTATTACGAATTGTGTAACTAAACGTTTATTATCAGTTATAGTATCTATCGTAAAACCTGCATCGAAATCACGTAATTTAATCGCGTGATTACGCGTGCGCTTCTATTATTTTTTACTGCCGCTCGAGCCAGTCGTTGGTAATCCAGCATACACTTTAACGTAGTCATAAATTAACCACTGTAAAGCAGTCAAAGTACCAATCATTATAACACGAGTACCAAGACCTCTCCAGATTCCGGTGAATCCGAGCTCCTTAGTAAGCTTGATAGATAAAGCAAGAGTTGACTCTCCTTCTGCTTTTGTTACATTATTAAGCTAGAATATGTGATGACATAAATTAGAAAACGCGCTTTAGTCGAATAGTTGATATTTAGGTTTAATAAAAACTACAGAACACATCATACCTTAGAAACCAAAGTATCAGCAGGATGACTGACTATCGCACAAAAAACACCAGCAATGTATCCACCAAGGAAAGATACACCAAGTTGTTCAAGTTTGTTGTATTGTTCTTTGGGTTTGCCGAGAGATTTATAAATGTATTCTAAAAATTATAATAGATAACAGAATCTAATTAATGCCTGAAATTATAAACTTGCAATTAAAAAGTGCATATAGTAAGTTACAAACCGACGGTTCTCTCAAAACTTGCGAATTTCATCATAGTGTAGGGAATTTGTCTAGCCCAAAGAGGAGTAAGGCCTTTGTAGAAACTTTAAATTAAATATAAAGTTAGCACATTTCTATATACTATTCGACGAAATCTTGTAATATATTGAGACACCATATACCCATTTGCACCTTCTTGTTTAAGGATCTTTTGGAAGCCTTCGGCCGCCGAATTAGCAAATGGGACAGTACTCGTTTGCATCCTTACTTTTAATGCTTCCCATGGACAAAAAAACTATTGAATTATATAGCGGAAAATATTATATTACGTGTGCTTTTGGTGGTGTCCTAGCGTGTGGACTAACCCATACCTTTGTTACGCCGCTTGATCTTGTAAAATGTCGTAGACAGGTAAGAAAGCAAGCTAAATAGTTAAATAGCATAGTGCAAATCTTAACAATTTTGCTTAAGACTAAAATTTGTGACTCCTATATAATGCGTCTTGACCTTTTGACATTGTAACCAACAACATTAAAGATTACAAATAACGCGCTCTCATTGTTTACTTTTATAATGTTATCATCATTTTAGGTCGACCCTAAAATTTATAAGGGTAACTTTGATGGATGGAAAAAGATTTATCGCGCTGAAGGCTTCAGAGGTTTATACACAGGATGGGTTCCAACTTTTATCGGTTATTCCTTCCAGGGTGCTGCAAAATACGGTTTTTATGAGGTTTTCAAGAGAAAGAAAAGGAGGAAGAACGAAGGCGAGAAAATCAACTAACAAAGTCGATGCAAGAGCTACATGCAACGAG